TGTTTCACAATTGGCCAATAATAACGTGTTATTCAATTTCATGTGACGACCAATCACGAGAAAGTTATCCTATATCGATGTTAGTAAGGTCGGAAATGATCTACATCACGTGATAGTAGGTTTTTTTTTGCCATGGCTAGGGTACTAACACTGTATGGTGGTGTTACAACGCATATGCATAAAATGATTAAATTCATAAAAAAATATATATATACGAGCAAAAAAATATTATAACCCACCCTACAAGAGACAAAAAATCGCTTATTTTTATACCGTTCATTCGCTAACAGAACAAAATAAGTAACTTATGTGTAAATAATAAAATAAAGCTGGTTATAAGTTCTTGATAATGATCTATTTTTTGTTGTTTTTTAGTTAAATCCTAATTTCGATCATATGTTTTATAAGTTCAGGCCACTGCAAATTGATTCTTTGTTTAGCATAACATTAAATAGTTCATAAGAGTGGGGGGAGGGCGTGAAAAATACACCATTTAACAAAAAACAGCCATTTTATTGGCTGTAAAAATATAAAAAATATAAAAAGCTAATACTGCCATTTGATGGTTAATACGGTGTGTGCTTTTAAAAAATTTGAAAAATAGAGGAGGAGGCTATGTTAAACAAAGAATTAAATTGGTCTGGCCTCAATAAGAATCGCACACAAGGTTCTAAATCCTACAAATAATGCGTAAGATCTTGCTCATTGCCTATCGTAATCTAAAATTCATTGTGAATACATGATCGTGTAATATTGGATAAAGGATCAAATGTAATTTATTGTTTTCGAACTTCTCTCAGATTCGAATTTCCTAGTTTACAAATCACTTTGTTTATTTTAATAAAAGTAATCGCATGTTGCAAAAAATAGTTATAATTATTGTAAAAATATTATAATTTCTAGCCAATGATTGTGGTTGCCTTTATCATGTGACTTGGGCATGCTCCTCGGCTCTAGGGCATGCGTGCCCATGCCCTGTGCCCATAACCCTACCGACGACCGATGAAGCAAAACATAATAAGAAAAAAGTAAAAAACGTGAAAAATCGAAAAATAGCAGTCATAAACAACTTTGGTACAATGATGAAAATTTTCGGGAGGCTATTTTACTTCTACAAAAGTCCCTAACCCTACACCAACCCTAACCTAAAGTGGCCATAACCCTAAAGTTTAATTCGATAAAATATTAATTTATATCCACTTTAAACATCCTCCATATTTGGTAAATCATCATACTGAATTTGGCAGAGTTTGGGATTTGGGCGTGGATAAACCAAACTATAAATAGTTTGGGATTTTGGCGACAAGATATATAAAGGGGTAGTTATCGTCGGTATCTGGATCTATCTTTATGTCGAAAGTATTGACGACTGCTACGATGATGACGCGAAGGAGACCGAGATCTAGATCTTGAATGCCCGTATTTTCTCTCAGAATGATATTTTGTTTGATGATAATCAGAATGGTTAAAGGAAGTGTTTGAATAACTTAAAGAAAACGAATCACCGGATACATCGCGGTGATGAGATCTATTTGAAGGTTGATAACGACTATCGTTTGTAAACCGACTTTCGTTTAAATTACTCTTAGGAATGTTATTGCTGGATCTTGGACCGTTTGCTCTACCATGCTGTGATTCTTTAGGGTATTGAAAAACAGGACGATTATTTTTAGATTCGAAGTGTTGATGTCTCATTTCTGATGAAGAATTACGACGCCAACAATCGTCAAACCGGTATTCGGGAAGAATTTCAGGCATGGATTGATTGCCAGTAACATGACTGATAAAAATAAAAAGTTAACAAATAAATTGAAGGAAATATAAAAGTTAATCAAAAACTTACAGAGGTCGTTTAAATGGACGGTCTCTTGCACCGAATCGAAGTTGACCAGATTCTTTTCGACCCCCAAAACCACCACCCAGTCGCCTTGGAATCCACCCTTCCATTATACGACTTCGTTCGTAGTCAGTTAGAATTTGACGATCATCTATTGTCATTTTATAGGAATTCTACATGCGAGATGAATGATCAATACACAAATAAATATAATAGATTTACCAATACATAATGAATATCATATTGAATGTGAATGTGCATACTTTATAGGCTTCTTGGCATGATTTTTCATGTGTGAATTCAATAAAAGCATATCCACGCGAATCACCTGTAACTATATACATAATTATTTATAAAAGCTAATTTGTAGATAAAATCATTTTCAAAAAAAAATTTTACCTATATTTCTTACGAGTCTAATATGTTTTATTGTACCGAACTTTTCGAAAATATTTTTTAGGGTTTCTAAGAAAATTATTTAATCAGTAATATTCTTTCGGATGTAGAGTAAAAAAAATTTGACATACTTTCAGTAGTTATTGGATTTAATCGCCCGACGAACAAAGTTTTAAAGGGGTCACTGGTAAGACCCTCTTCATTTGTAGGTGGCACATCTATATAAACGTAATTTAATAATTAAATAAAACAAATGTGTAAAAATATAAAAAAGAACTTACAACAAGAATTTTGAGCTCTTAAAATTCCATGATCGTGCGGTACTGTGTCAGTTCCGTCAATACTACCCGCTATTTAAATGTGGGAGTTAATATAATTAGGATAGATGTCCAATAAAGTTTTAGAATTTTTTTTTTTTTTTATACCTTGGAGAGGATCATATTTTTTCGCGTACCACATTTTAAACGAATACCGTAAAAAAGATAGATTTTTTTAATTAGACCCCATATAATCCAGCAGTCACGATTTGATGATCGGAATAAATTTCCGAATATCCAAAAGGGTTGGACAGGATAGAAATATTTAAGCCGAATTACAACATCGATCATCCATTTGGTTGTCTACACGTGAAAATCAAATAACTTTCAAGTTCATTATTATACTAGCGTCAGAATTAATACCATATCGATATTGTATTACAGTATTGGTATAGCGATATATGTTGTAAGTAGGAACGAGATTTGGAATTTCTTAGTTAAATTAGTATTTCGATATGAACCCTAACTCTAAAATTCCCGTTTCACTTACAACATATCAGATATATATGTATATAGAACGTAAAAAAGAAAAAAAAAAGGTATCGGTATAAAACATGAATTTGCATTTACTACGTAATTTCCACCCAAGTTTCTATTGGCTGGGATTATTCGCACCAATTTACATATCACTTTTTATTTAAAATGTGACATCTAAGTTAGGGTTTGGGGTTAGCGTTAGTGAATAACCTTTTATACTAAAATTTTGCAAGGAATTTTTTTTTGTTAGTGCCCAAAAGAGGGGTTCGCTAAAGCCTTGTACCCACGTGACTTTTCTATGTAGATAATAAAAAATGTCGGGAAGGGAATTTTACCTATACACCTGCCCTTACCCTAACAATAAATTAACCCTACATGAATTTACTAAACCACCCCCCCTTTATAGAAGACCCCCGGGTCTGAATCAATTTTCACGCAGGTTTAAAGTAACAGACCCGGTATACATGGGTGCCTAAATTATTTTTGAAAAATCGTATTTTCGGCAATCATTTCGGCATTGCTAAATTTTTTATATGAAGCCCTTCGAAATAACTATATTATATGATGTATTTTGATGAAAAGAGTTCAAAAAATTTCGGCAATAATTTCAGCAAATATGAAAATTAATTTCGGCATTATACAAGACTAATTTCGGCTGCCTAAATGCCGTAATTACTTTTTTATTAAGATGGGCAATTTAGGCACCCATGTATAAGACCCGGGTGGTTTATGCGGCAATTTACGGTATATGTTGTACTGTACGTCAGAACGGAATTATTAAAGATTTTGAATCAACTTAGGTTGGAATATTCCAAATGTAGCCCAAGTTGATACGAAATTTAAAAGCAACATTAAGTTGATTCTAAATTTGATACTGTAATAATCGATAAATTTAATAGCGATAGTGGCTTAAGTTGATTTTTAAAATTCGATACTGCAATAAATGCTTAGGCGATTGACGTAACGATAGTTAAATAAATTACATCTCAAGATAAAATATAATTTTTTATACTATACTTGTTTTTATTTCACTTTTTCGTTCTTTGCAGAACTCTACCTGATGACCGAATTTCGATTATCCATTTGTGCCTCATAATGCATTCGAAGAATTTCTTTAC